TTCCCTGAGCATACTAACTCTAACTTTGTCAAAAGTGGACTTAGAACACTCTGGTTTTCAGGCGACGAGGTGGTGATTCCATAAAGAGGAATTATGAGTAGGTATAAGTGCAGATGTTTTTGTTTGTTTATCTACTTTTACTTTCAGTGTAATAATGTGAATAATGATGTATGTTTACATATGAAGTCCCAGTCGAATATACTCGCCCCTAACCTAGCACCAACCCTGGGGCGAACAGATTCTTCAGTTTCACCGTTAATGTTTATATTTTAAAACCCAAAAACCAATCTATTCAGTTACAAAATTTCAACAAAGAGGGGCATTTCAGCTCTTAACATACAGTCAGTGCACAGCTTATTACATTTTCAGATTCAAACTGTAAAAATAAATTTAGGAAGTGTTCTTTTTCTCCTGCAGAGACACGCGGTCTTTTATGAACAGGTATCTCAATCAAATCAAACCACATATTAATATTTAATACCTCTGCTATAACAGATGTATTTTGAATTTATTCATACATACTATTGAAAGGCAAAACATTTGTGGGAAGCGAAAACTGAGACCAGTAGTTATACTGACTGACTGAGTTTAATTTTAATTTGTGAAAATGTAAATATCTGATATTTACCAGTGGAACTGAATTGCGAAAATAGCCTATTAGTGATCATTGGTATGTGTTTTCTTTTGTCAAATCGGCTACGATTATTTTGAAACTTCGCCTTTTGGAATGCCTTGGAAGTAGGCAAACACAAACGCTGAGTGAGTGAGTTTAGTTCAACGCCGCACTCAGCAATAGTCCAGCTATATGGCGGCGGTCCACAGACGCTGAAGTGAGCCTTCCGTCATATTTGATAGTGTTTACAGAATCATGTTTCACGTGTATAGGAAGCTGGTCATGAGACACCTATTATATCACACATATGTTTACACTCAGCTGCAATACACACGTCCCTGAATTCCTCAAGAATTTTAGTATCAAATGGCTGATGAATAGTGATGACGCTATTAAGCCCTGGATGCAGAGTTGTCTTTTCCGACACGCATTTACAAGACGTCTGATAAATGAACGGTATGAGAGAATTGTGCTTGTGCGGATCCGGGCCCCGTTTCCCAAAGCTATCGTAGAACTACGATAGTCGTTAGTCTGTGTTACAGTCTAGGAGGCGCGAGAGTCGTGGTAGCACTTCGATTGTTTTGGGAAACGCGGCCCTCGATCTAGCTACGGCTATAAAATTAGAGAGAAATGCAAAATATGAATTTCCAACCCTATGGTGTCAATTCATATACTAACTGTAAATTCTAAGGCGACTTGAAAAACACACACTGCTATGTGTTGTCCGAAAGTTTGTAATGCGTTAAAAAACTCGCTAAATTGCCCCGCGTTTTATCGTCCAAAAGGACTATGCGACGATATTTTTTGTCCATATGTGTGAGCGAACAAAATACTGTTTAGGATCTGGACGCCATTAGTATACATCAACTGAATTTGTGTGTTTATGTTTATATACATTAAATGTAATTATATAATGGCTTTCTATAAATGACACGTACATATAGTTAATGTAATGTACCACTGAAAAATACACACACTAGTTTAGCTCACGTCGTCTTGGTTTATGTTTTTTTGTGCAACATCGGAGAAAGACGACATGGATATGTTGATTCGTATATATCTCATGTAAATTCCGTTACCTGTAGAAAAGGTCTAATGTTGTTAGTCAAAGGTAGATGCGCTTTCCATTGAACATGAGTGTGATTATGTATCTGAATTTCGACAACACTCGCACCTGTTTGGTATCAATTTAATGTAATTGAAAACGAATAATTCAAACACACGAATAGATATTTTTAGGATAGGGTTTTCATTGTTCATGATTGCTTGGCTATATTTCTTCATAAGTATACAATGCAAGATGCCAAAACTAGCTCCTTTTGGTTGGAACGATCAGAATAATGTTGTAAGGTTTGTCCAAAGGAAGACATTCGTGGTTTATATTTATTTACAATCTTGAAGAAATATAATTACAGAGAGATATTATGTCACCACATTTTTTTTTCAAATATACATTAATTATATACTCAATAAACACGAGTGTATATCGTAAAAAACGTTCGGAACAGAAGCGTACCCTGCCAATCGTTATACATCATTGTATATAAAGAAGACAATTCTTTTAAGATATATGTGCATATAGATTTCATAAAACATACCAATCATCTATTTAAATAAAAAAGTGTCAGTTTTACTTGTAAGGTTAAATTAAAGCCCTGGTCATCTCCTGTTTGAAATAGCAATATTGAATATTGCATCATAAGAACTAAAGTGCGTACTACAGTCATGCCTACGTTTTATCTAACATTCGTGTAAAGGTTCAAAATATGGTGCATAAATGTAGATAATAAAAAACATATCTTTAAGATGCGCAAAATATGCATTATCATACTGAAACTGATCAGCAGCATGGTGTGATTGTGTGTACACTTGTTCAACCGACCTTCACCTCAAAGTAAAGAATGTACTACAATGTTGACCTATGGCATCACTGCCGATGACGGGCCCGTGATTTACAAATGGCGGGTTCGCTGATATCGGTTCGCAGGATTTTGCGATGGACCATCCCTTGATTCTGCCACAGTTTGTACATAACTACGTGATGTGTGTAATCAGAAGCATCCTGATTATCTACACATTGTTTTGTTTTTTTCTCTGAGATTTATTGTATTGCAACCAACAGAACCTGACAGAAAATTACCGTTGTCGCTCTGTCTGATTTTGCGTCAGTGGAAACATACATTTGAATTCACCCCATCATCGTAATGTATTTTTGATTCCCCAATTCTTGCTACAAAAATCTTCCCATGCATATTCCGAAAATGCTGAGCCATTGTATGCAACGAATAGACGAATGTATGTTTGAAAATCGATACACAGTGTAGGCCCTGAACTTTCCTTTGTTTATATTTCAAATGACAAGCACAGCGTTTGTTTTCAAACCCAGTATGTTTTATTTGATTTCATCTTGACACTTTGTTTTAGTGAGAAAAACCATTGGTTGTTAGATTTGTAGTACCAGAACTGCTAGTCCGGGCGGTCTGTGACGTAGGTAACGTGTCACAAAGACAAGCGACTAGTTTTGTGAGAATCCGTCTGAAACGAACCCGCGACATCGGATTGTTAGCCCAACAGCTAACCACTGAGCTACGTTCACACTGTTGTACCACGTGCAAATTTATCTTGTCATTCCTAAGACGTTTCGGAAATGAACGGAAACAGTCGAATAGATCACGGACAATTACGAAGGAACATTTAGACTTGGTGCCACGGACAGTGACAACTGGTCCCAATGTCTTTTGACACACTCGTCCAATTCGGCTATCTACAAGATCCATAGCGGCGTGGAATGTGGTATGACGTGGGGTCTGAGAGCTTGGTCGATGTAGTGAACCGCTGTGATGCCGCCTCGACTCCCTGGACCAAGGTTCTGGAACACCACGGGACCCACTATCTGGTTCTGGCGTATTCCACCCCATACCATGATGCTTGCACCTCCCCAATGGGTCTCTTTCAATAACACATTGGTCTGAGTAACGTTGGCCACGTCGTCGCCATATTCTTGTTCTGCCATCTACAGTTGATACGCAGTACGCACTCTCATCTGTGAACAGAACAGTTCTCCATTGCCTGTATCGCCAGTTTTAGTGTTGTAGGGCAAACTGTAGACGCTCACGGGGGTGAGGATAGGTCCACGGTAAGGTCTACGGCAATCGAGGTTCCCGCCGTTAAGACGTCGGCGTACTGTATCAGTACTTATTGGTCTTCCCTGTGTTCCCACTGTCTGGCGTGCTGTTTCGGATGGCTGCAGGATGGGATTCTGTACATGGTGTCGCACAACATGGCGGTCTTGTCGTCTTGAGGTCACCCTTGGTCTGCCAGTACGGGGGCGATCATTTGTGGTGTTGGTGGCCCGGAAACGTTGCTGCAGCCTGTAGATGGTCCGAACGTTGACCTGGAAGTGATTGGCAACGGCTTGTGCAGTGTGGCCAGCTTCAAGTCATCCTAGCGAGCTGTCCTCTGAGCTGTCCTGAGTCGCGACATCCTGCTGACGTTGTAATGTGAATGTTTCAACCAGTTTTCGGGGTGCATTTAATAGGGCTGGTCCTTGTGAACAGCACGTGCAGCACGAGTTGCAGGAAAAACATGGAGAAACACCATACCATCTCCGTGATCAGGTTGCGTTTTTGAGACCATTCCCTGGGTTCAGTTCTGAGTTTGGGAAGGAATGTTTTTGCTCAAGTAAAGCTGGAGATGTCGTCAAAAATACACAATCAAAACATTAAATCTGTTTACAGTTATCTGTTTACAGTTATCGGTTTCTGCGAACGAAAATTCCCAAAACTCTTTTGCTGCTTAGTATATAATGAGAATATGTACATGAATAAAATGGTAGCCTCAAAGTGACTGCTTATTCGTAATTAACTGGATAGTTAGACATAGGCCAGAACACTTTGTTAGCTAATGATTTAAATTATGCATTATACAATTGATCTGTCAGCTAATAATAATTAAGTCAAAACCATTTCACAATCAATATCCATTCCTATTGTTACACAATAAAGTCATGCAAGAAAAATAGAACAACATTGATAGCTTAAATACATATTAGACTAACAGTAAATAGAAGAAATGGCAGTAGCAATAATTTTGCCTGTTAGGGTCCGTTCATAATTTATGGCTAGAGGGATGATGATGATTTTAAGGGGGTCACCCAGTTTGTTCTAGGGAGCTCTCTGTGTGTCTGTGTGTGTGTGTTTGGGGGTGGCTAAAGGGTGTCAGCAATTTTGTACACACTAGGGGGTAGCAATTTTGTACTTAACAATACGTTTAAAATTATGCTTAGAAATTATGGGAGGGGGTCATTGAAATTGTACATAGTTTTATTTTAATTTATTTTTTTTGGGGGGGTGGGGAGGAGGAGGGTGTGCCATCCACATTGTACATGCTCCTCCATTAAAATCATCATCAATCCACCCCATCCCATGCCCACTAGCCATAAATTATGAACGGTGCCTTAGTGAACAAGATATATTTACACGTTTGAAATTGTATAAAAAGTTCATGTCAGATTCACGATCAGTTAATTGTCGAATTATGTTTTTCAAGTTCACTGGACAATGAAGAGCCCTTGCAGGAAAGTTTTGCACAGCAAGACAGTCCATCATGACTCCCCGTAAGCTGTGCCACCAATACAACCACCGCCATCACCACGAGATCGGAACATGTAACCACGCCCAGCTGTGTGGACCATGTGGCCACGAAACGTCCGGTGGAATTGCGGGTGCTGGAGGCCCAACTGGAGTACTACACTCTGAAAATGAAAACAAATAAGAAATGAACAATGAACTTCATACGATGGAAGTGAAATTGTTTCTGCATGTTTGTATACTAATAATATTTATTAAACAAACATAATTCTTCAATTGTTGAATTGCTTTTAAGATAAATATTATACATTACTAAATACCAACAACTGAGTTATTATACATTACTAAATACCAACAACTGAGTTATTATACATTACTAAATACCAACAACTGAGTTATTATACATTACTAAATGCCAACAACTGAGTTATTATACATGACTAAATACCAACAACTGAGTTATTATACATGACTAAATACCAACAACTGAGTTATTATACATGACTAAATACCAACAACTGAGTTATTATACATGACTAAATACCAACAACTGAGTTATTATACATTACTAAATACCAACAACTGAGTTATGATACATGACTAAATACCAACAACTGAGTTATTATACATGACTAAATACCAACAACTGAGTTATTATACATTACTAAATACCAACAACTGAGTTATTATACATGACTAAATACCAACAACTGAGTTATTATACATGACTAAATACCAACAACTGAGTTATTATACATTACTAAATACCAACACCTGAGTTATTATACATTACTAAATACCAACAACTGAGTTATTATACATGACTAAATACCAACAACTGAGTTATTATACATGACTAAATACCAACAACTGAGTTATTATACATGACTAAATACCAACAACTGAGTTATTATACATGACTAAATACCAACAATTGAGTTATTATACATGACTAAATACCAACAACTGAGTTATTATACATTACTAAATACCAACAACTGAGTTATTATACATTACTAAATACCAACAACTGAGTTATACATTACTAAATACCAACAACTGAGTTATTATACATTACTAAATACCAACAACTGAGTTATTAATTTGTTATTGTGATTTATAAACTATATACTTTAGATGTATGCTCATGGAACGAAACTGTCCTTTTGATGCATCCAGTACATTTCTGTCTTTGCTATCTGATGTAAAGAAATTAATGACAATGGAGCTTCAATTATCTATTACTAACTAACTCATCGGGGCTCCAGAGGAGGCCGGACAACAATCCACTACCCACTTAAAGTGAAACTATCAAATATTGCTAAATCTCCTCTGAGATTTGGTTTAATAAATGCAAGATCAGCAAAAGCCTTAAGTATAAATTCAGATAAAGCACAATCTATACACGATTTGATTGACGACAACAAGCTAGAAATACTAGCAATTACTGAAACATGGTTTAGAGAAGGAAATATTGATTACCTGGCAAGAAATAAGATTGTCCCAGTTGGTTACCGTCTTATACACAAACCAAGATCTGGCAAACGTGGCGGTGGTTGTGCTGTTGTGATTCAGGACCATATCAAATGTTCAGATATCACTCATCGTTCGTCAGACCGTGAGAGAATCAGATCCAAAGTGTGACCACTCTCATGTGTTGGGTATAGCACATGTTGGATAAAATTCCTTGAATCAAGAATCGAGGTCAGTCTTCTGTAACATGGGGCAGACAACACATCCATGTGAATATTAAAGTCGCCACATAGAAGTAACTTTCCGGGTTTGTTGTTCCGGTTATCGAGGAAATCCTGAATCTCCGAGAAGAATGCACCAAGTAAGCAACTCTTTGGGGGTCTGTAAATTACATTCATGAGAATTTTCTCATTGTCAATAACAGCCTCAACTGTCAGTAGTTCAAACGATACATGTTGTGAATACGTATCGAACTCCAATTCTGGAACTTCGTCTATGATGAAAGTGTGAGATCTGATCATGTTTGTATAATGTGTTCAGTAAATCTAAACAAACCCAAACGATTGAAACAGGAAGTAATATGTCGGAAATGGAAAGACATCAATGTCAGTGACTTCAGGAAAGACATTGAATCTGGTATGGCATCTATTGGCACCATGAGCAGCATGACTAATGCTGTCCACGAGTACAACAGAGTACTAACAGAGACCCTTGACAAGCACGCACCTGCTAAGACAAAAACTGTGAACCTTCGCCCGAGCACACCTTGGTTTAATGAAAGCATTCGTCAAGCAAAGAATCTCCGTAGGATGCTGGAGCACAAGATGAGACAGTCAAAACTTGTGATTGATCGTCAGATACACAGTTCTCAGCGCAACCTGGTCAATCAGCTTGTAGATAAAGCAAAGCAGTCATACTACAACAGCGTCATCAACCAAGCGAAATCCCAGAAGGAAGTGTTTAGTGCAAGTAACGATCTGCTGTTCAGGAAAAAGAACAACACCCTCCCAGCCCACGCTTCTGCAGAAATAATGGCTGAAACATTCCTGTCTTTCTTCAACGATAAAATCCTTAAGATCAGATCCCGACTGGAGGATAATCAAGCTATAGATGCTGACAAGATCTGCAGTGACTCACATCCTCAAGCATCTCTCCATGTTTTGAAACTAATCTCTTTTCAACCTGCCACATGTGACGAAATAAGAAAAGTGTTCTTGAAATGTCCAACTAAGTCCTGCTCATTGGATCCATTACCGACATGGCTTCTGAAACTGGCAGCAGATGAGATCTATACTACTTTAACACAAATTGTAAATCTCTCACTGACAAGTTGTGAAGTTCCTCCATGTCTGAAGGAAGCACTTATAAGACCCCTCCTGAAGAAACCTAGTTTAGATCCTGATATCTTAAAGAACTACAGGCCTGTGTCGAACCGCACGTTTCTATCTAAGCTCATAGAGCGTGTAGTAGCCAGTCGTCTCCAAGCTCATCTCAAGACTGGAAACTTACACGAGACTATGCAGTCAGCCTACAAGTTAGGTCACAGTACGGAATCTGCTCTGATACGTGTCCAGAACGATTTGCTAATGTCTGTTGACTCTGAAGGTGGAGCTGCGTTAGTGCTACTAGACCTCTCAGCAGCCTTCGACACCATCGACCATTCCATTCTGCTGTCCCTCCTGGAGACTCGTGTCGGTGTTACTGGAGATGCTCTGAAGTGGTTTGAGTCGTACCTATGCAACCGATTCCAATCTGTAATCATCGACGGCAAAGAATCACAGAAGCAGAAGCTTGTATACGGTGTGCCACAAGGCTCGGTATTAGGTCCCATACTATTCACCTTGTACAACCTACCTGTAAGAGACATTGTCAGAAAATACAATCTGGGATTTCATCTATATGCCGACGATTCTCAGATCTACATGGGTTTCCGGCCATTCCACCCATCCTCTGTTGCTAATGCTCAGGCGACCATCGTAGATTGTGTCAAGGAGATCCAGCACTGGATGTCCGCGCACTTTCTCCAACTCAACGCCGACAAGACAGAACTTATTATCTTTGGATCCAAATCTTTGCTTTCAAACTTTCAGTTCCCACCATTGAAACTTGGCGACTGTGATGTTAACCCCAGTTCTCAAGCAAGGAATCTAGGTGTGGTTTTTGAGTCATCCTTGTCATCTGAGCGACACATCGATGCTGTATGCAGGTCATGCTACTACCATCTGAGAAACATCAGCTTGATCATGAAGCATATTGGTAGGGATGCAGTCAAGACTCTAGTTAATGCGTTTGTTACATCTCGCATAGACTACTGCAATAATCTATTGTATGGGGCATCGGAATACTCACTCTCCAGACTCCAGAGAGTGCACAACAGTGCGGCCAGAGTAATCACCAACACCAGACGTCGAGATCACATCTCCCCGGTCTTACAAGACCTCCATTGGCTGCCCAGTGAGACAACGTATCCAGTTCATGATCCTGGTGTTTGTTTTCAAATCGCTTCATGGCCAGCTCCTGAGTATATCAGTGAACTCCTATCAACCTACACTCCAGGGAGAGAGCTTAGGTCAAGACCATCAAGAGCACTGGATGTTCCTATGACTAGGAAAAGACACTATGGAGATATATCGTTCTCCAAAGCCGGGCCCTGGCTCTGGAACCGTCTTCCTCGGCACATTCAGAACATTGTCAATCTCGACCAGTTTAAACGACAACTAAAAACCCACTTGTTCAACATAGCCTTCGCCTAAGCGACTTTGAGCAATATGTTGGAACAGGCGCTATACAGATATTATTATTTATTTATTATGTATTTTACCTGTGTTAGAAGTGAAGATTGACAAACTGCTGTCTGTACCTCACACCACTGGAATCAGTCTGTTGGACATCAGATGGGTCCAGGACAGCTTGATTTGGGGGCAAATTGACTCCTCGAGGGTGGACAATGTTTCTGTCCTTGCAGATGTGGTGCAACATTGCACATATAAGTACAACCTGTGAATCAAGGAAGAACAAAGTGCAAATCAGTCGCACACAGTAGTCTCGCTGATTTTGAATCACTGTCAAAATCATGATTTATCATCTCTCTGAGACAACAGGCAAGTGAATGACTAGGACGTATAATTACAATTATCAGATATCACTTAACCCTAAAAAAAATAAATAAATGTTTTGTTTTATTTATGTAACGAAGTGTAATGGCTGCCTTGCTGTCGGCGTGTGCATAGAATTCGTTTTGTTGGGGAGGTCAGTTCATTCCGTATGAGATCAGAGACAGAACGAATGCCACCACTGTGTGGACGAAATCTAGTGATAAGTTCATTGTTAGTATACGTCGTATACATATATATATATCCTTTCAATTCTTGGGCGGAAAACACTTGAGTCACCGTTGATTGGAGGCCTTTTAGATGAGTTAAAGGGGACGTGTACACGAAAGAATTACATTTATTCTTATGTAAAACAAAATTGATTTTTTTAATTAGTTGTCGCAGGTTCAGGCCTTAGTCTTGCCAAGCAGACAATATATATGTTTATTGCCAGTGAATTATGAATGGTACACCATTTGTAAGATGTTGTGTCAGCCATACACGTGTGATGGCTGCTGGATGACAACTGAGTGTCTATCAGTCAGGCATATTGAATATACAGCTGAGAATAATAATTGTTTACATATAGGTGATGCATCATGTTAATTCCTAAAAATATACACAGTTGGTGTTGGTGATAAAAGGTTTATCAAATGAATTCTAATTATACTTTTGCACACTATCATACTTGCTCGTGCTTAAGTTAATAAGTGATAAGGGTCAGATGTGTTTACTTGATAAGTGATCGGTGATATGTTTTACTAACTTTACCAGCTTAATTGATAATAATTATATACTTAGCACCATGAAACTGAGAAAGAATATAGAGACATTGCGCACATGTGCATTATGAATAGTAGAACATTAGGAAGATGTTGTGTCAGCCATACATGTGTGATGGCTGACGGAGGTGAGGTGAAAATTGGGTTTAACGTCGTGTTTGAGAATATTTCGCTCAGTACCATATTTTAACGTCTTTTGGTATGACGCGGTCGGGGATCGAATCCGCGACCTTCCGCTCTCCGGGCGGACGCTCTAGCCACTACACCACGGAGGCGGTCCCGATGGCTGACGGATGACAAAGGAATGTCACACGTCATAGGTGTAGAAGCCAGTGATTTTAGTGGTCAGCCAATACGGGTAACACGTACAACTCCCTATTAGACAGTCGAGAAGCAGTCTTCTGATGGAAAGATAAATGGCTGTGGGCGACATAGTTAATATCATTGTTTGAAAATATACTGACCCTTGAAGGTCCGGGTTAGAATATTGATCTTCAGTAACCCATGCTTGTCGTAAGAGGCGACTAACGGGATCGGGTGGTCAGGTTCGCTGACTTGGTTGGCACGTGTCATCGGTTCCTAATTGCGCACATCGATGCTCATGCTGTTGTTCAGTGGATTGTCTGGTCCCGACTCGATTATTTACAGACCGCCGCCATATAGCTGGAATATTGCCGAGTGTGGCGTTAAACTAAACTCACTCACTCACTGAAAATATACTCTCATTCTTATTACAGTGAAAGTATAACCCTCAATATAACTGCTGATACATGAAGTGCATGGTGGGCGAGCTGTCTAAGGCGCCCGGCTAGTGATCCAGAGAGCTTGAGGTGCCAGGATCGAGCCTATCTGTGACCGGGTGTAAAAACCTTGGAGTCTAACTTTGCGTGCACACTCTCTCAGTGTTGTCACAACCCCTAGTGTACAGTACACAACCCAGTACAAGAACCCACGTATCCGTTGGTATATGACCAGATGGTGGCCACATCAATACGTGCAAAGTACTGTGATTATGTGTCCCAGTCCACCCAGCTGTGAATAGGTACCACGTAAGGATGGGAAAGCGAAATTAACTCGGTGCGCCTAGTGGCTGCAAGAGTTGTATGGTCCCCAGGGAGTTGAGATTGACATCTAATGATCGAGGGAAACACAAAGCACCTTTCAGCAGGTGATCTGGATATTATCGCTATACAAAAAAAAACATAAATAAAAAATATTTAATTTTATGCCATTATATGAGGTTTTTATTTGCCGAGCTCAACAGAACAGAGTTACGTAATTGGTGCTGCTTGAATTTAGACTGGTCTCCTGTCTTGTCCCTAAGCAAAAGATATAAATACTGACATTAATCACGTCAAAAAAGTAGGCAAAAACACGAAAGAAGCATTAGACCTGAAAATGTAAGTGTTACCGCTGGTTAAATCGCCAAGTAACATCAGGAATCACATGACTCGCTGTAGGGGTGAGGTGCGGTTTACTCAGATAATTCCTTAGTCATACATCAAGCCCTGAAAAATACATAATAGTCTTAGACATGGTTGCACAATACATACACTTTTTCACAGGTGTGGAATTCATCTGAAATACTTAACAAATACAACTAAATATCAATATGATTGACAGGTGCTTAAAACCACAACCGTTAGAAAACTGCCACCAACCTTCAAGATTTTTAGTGACCTTTCTATGACTTACTATATTTTTATTCTAATTTTACTTGTTAGCAATAAAACACTATAGCACCATTTTATATTCAATAATTATAACATAGTTCTATTCCAACAAACTAAACTGTCCTATTAAAACCTTAAAGATGTCTCTGCTACATAAGCAGCAATATAGAAATGATCGTGTGTAAATGTATTTTCATTCATAACCTCACGTCAATGAAAATACCAAATATGTATAACAATGTTGACGTACTATGACATCACTATCGGGAAGTGACATTCTCGAAATGGCGTGTTCACCGAGTATGCGGGATTTCTGGATGGAAACTTTCGTTGTTTCAAGCCACGTATATGCATAAATGTCACATGTAAGTAGCCCGAAACATACTGGCAATCGGCTGGCAGTTGTTTTGTTTTTGTTTTCATTTTGACCAATGGTTCGAAATGTGGAGAAGTATCGTCAACGTCGTGTGTGAGTTTGTGTCAGGCATGGTGTCACGCTTTCGGAAACTGTGATATATTGTGTTGAATCTAAGAAATCATTACAATACACCTATTTCTATATAACTGACTGTTACTACGATACCTTTCCCATGCATATTCTAAACCTTGAGAATGAGGAAGCGTATGCAACTAGTAGGCGAAAGGATGTCTCACAGTATGAGAAAATGATACACTGTGACTTTGTTTACATTTCAAACAAGACCTGGTGGTCCTTTCCCAGCGCGGCATCAGAAATATGTAGCTAGATTTCACTGAGGCACTTGGTATTGCTGACAAACCATTTGAAGATTCATTTTGAACTGTATGAGGAATTCAGGGATTCGTGTAAGGAAGATCACAGCGGAATTACAGATGTGATGTAACGGGCGAAGCATAACCGACATACATGTGACGTGATTTTACTATGCAATGTGGCTGACAGTTCACTTTGAACGGTTAGGGTTAGCGTTAGGTTAAATTTGTCCAGCAATGAGCAGGTAATATCATAGAAAACACGATGCAAACAGAATTCAAAACTGCAATTTTCTTCGTGATGTATTTGAACATGGTTTCACCATTAAAGTGAAGGTTGAAGTGAGTGAGTTTAGTTTTACGCCGCACTCAGTGATATTCCAGCTATATGGCGGCGGTCTGTAAATAATCGAGTCTGGACCAGACAATCCAGAGACCATCGATCTGCGAAACTGGGAACCGATGACATATGTCAACAAAGTCAGCGAGCCTGACCACCCGATCTCGTTAGTCGCCTTTTATGTCAAGCACGGACGGGTTGCTGAAGACCAATTCTAACCCGGATCTTCACGGTTAGAAGGTTGAAGAGAATGGATATATACTGTACGATCTATGTAGGAATTAAGTACCAAACATAGAATGCCGGCATATTCATCGATGGATGTAGCGCATATACGCTTTAGTTTGGGTGAAAGAAGACACTGTTGGAAAGGCGACCCACTCCGGTTGAATGCTGTAAAGTTTAGTTACGTCCTAACACTTTTTCTACAATGTACTAGTATACTGTTTTCAAACTGCAACGTCATCACCGTGTGGGATTGATCACATAGCCAGCTGACGGGCAGGCAACAGGTGCATTAAAACAATAGCCTGCGCATCGAAACACAAAAACCACATCTATACCTGCACCACGTCTAAAAACGTCATTCGTTTATCAGTCAAGAACCAATGACGTCATTTCCAAGGAACATAAGCCATGGTGTGTTTATTGTGGTCCTCGATTGCCGTGGACCTTACCGTGGACCTATCCTTACACCTCGTGATCGGCGGAAGCTCTCTTAGCGCTAAGATAGTCGTAAGTGCCATACATTAAAATTAACTTAGGACTATCTTAGCGCTAAGAGAGCTTCGAAAATCTAGGCCCAGTTCTGTTCACAGATAAGAGTCGGTACTGCGTATCAACTGCAGATGGCAGAACAAGAATATGGCGACGACGTGGCCAGCGTTACTCAGACCAATGTGTTATGGAAAGAGACTCATGGGGAGGTGCAAGCATCATGGTATGGGGTGGAAGCCGATTTATTGAGCCAGGCCTTTCTCGGAGTGGGGTTCTAGCCCAGCGGATAAGTGGTCAAAATTGTGCCCTTTGTGTTACAAACATCAAATTGTCTACTATTTTCATCATAACTTCTTTTAAAATTCTCCAATTCTCATAAGTCACATATCAACTTGTAGGAAATTCATAGCTGATCATTTTCCATCTATTCATGTCTTTTATCTTTAATGGTTAGGCCTCCGGAAGTCAATTTATACCACGACTACCCTAAAATGGTAAAATTGGCGGCCATTTAGAAAAATGGTCATCATATAGACTATATCAGTAAATTAGTATGAGATCATCCCATGATCTAACATATTGTTATCATTTCTTTGCAAATTCAATATGAGAAGCCTCGAAGATTGTGTCCATTTTTCATCTTTGGAGGGAAAAAGTAGGGAAAAATTGAATTTTCTGAAAAATGTTATTTGAACTCAATTTTAAATCCTCATAAACAATGTATATAGAATATTGTGAGAACAGATGAAAGTTTATTTTAAGGAATATATCATTAGATTTACTTACATGTATAATGTATGAGCTTGGTTGGCTATAGATCACCTATAAAAAACATTTCAAAATGAAACGCAAACTTATTTCATTTCAACATCAATGTCAAAGTAGCTGTCTCATCAATCTGTGGAAGGTTACTCAATCATGTGTAATTGTATCTAGCTTGACTAAATCAGAAAAGGGCAGTGCACTTAGGCACTGCTTGTAAGCACTTGGACCAGTTTGAACATTTTTTACACATGCATTTCAGCAATTCCTGGCAGCCCTTTCATGGCAATAGAAGAGTTGTCCATACAAGTTCAAGCTCTCCCGTAGGGAGTTATTGCCAGCCCCTATCCAGAGGGCTTGGTAACTCCTGTGATATCATCAGGGATTGCTCCCAAACTTAACTCCCCTGATTTACAACTTACTTTACATGTTTGATCAAAGCTGATTCTGCTGGGGGGAATATTGTCCAGTGTTCTCCCCTGCGTGGCGAACAAGTGCTTTCTTGTTTCATTCACTTTCATAAGGTTGCTTGCTCTGCCATAGAGCAACACAACAAACGCCTCAAGGTTTGATGTACATCTAGTCATTATTTTCCTCGTTGATACTTAATACCCAACGTACTTACTTTCCAATAGTAATACTTACAAATGAGTCATTAACGTGATACAAAATCATACTCATTAATATTTCATCCACATTGTTCTTCAGTTTTTAAACTATTTACGCGTCCTTTTTCATAAAACGTTTTATATTCTTAAAACAATCATGCAACTATCACTGCTTGATACATTCTCATTTATTTGAAGTGTACAGTGCAGTATGCAAACATTAGAACAGGCCTACTAAAGAAAAAACCGAATTGCGCGGAAGAGCATGGAAATGTACACATTAAGAGGCGAATGTGCATAAACGCATAGCGACGCGGAATAGAAAGCACAGAAACTGCATGAAAATACGACGATCTGCAAATTTAAAGAATCGAGGACGCGTTCCGCAAGACTCGAAGTGCATCACGCCGACTACACATGCGCAGTAACCAAACCATTCTTTGATGTAGCAGGCGAAATGATACAATATTGTACAGTTTCGTTTTAGGAACCTTTATCTAGTTTTTTTAATTCATAAAATATCTTAGAGCAAGACATATGAAGAATAAAAATCATTTTCACTTAGCAACCACAGGAGTCAAACTTTCATCCGCCATTTTGAAATTGGACAGCCCATGCACAGTCACATCGTGATGCATTTCGAGTCTTTCGGAACGCGTCCTCGATTCTATGAATTTGCTCATCGTCGCATTTTCATGCAGTTTCTATGCTTTCTATTCCGCCATGTTTGTATGCACATTAGCTTCTTTATGTGTACTATGCTTTTCCGCGCAATTCGTTTTTTTGTTTGGTACGCCTGTAGAAGGTCTAAAGTAATGCCCCGTTGAAGTCATGGGTTACAATAATTTTCCTATTCAAAGTTAAATTAGGCACACTCACTTCTTTAACGCTGCACTACTCAGATCCTTCAAACCCAACATAATTACTAACTCACTTCATAACGTTGCATCACTCACTTAAAACAACAATACTCAGTTCTGACTAGCTTCACTACTCTCTCGCTTAAGACACTAGATTGCTCACTGATTACAGTATCACTCACTCACTTAAAACACTGGATCGCATACATACTTAAACAACAGTATCATTTACTTGTGACGATAAATATTAACTCACTCACTCACCATTTACGTAAAACACCAAATTGCATACATACTTAAACCACAGTATCACCCACTTAAAACTCCGGATTGCACACCTACTTACACCACAGTATCACTCACTGACTTAAAACACCAGATTGCATACATACTTAAACCACAGTATCACTCACTTAAAACACTGGATTGCACACCTACTTACACCACAGTATCACTCACTGACTTAAAACACTGGATTGCACACCTACTTACACCACTGACTTAAAACATGGATTGCTTTTACAATTCACAGTATCACTACTGACTTAAATCACTCACTGATTGCACACTGGATTGTACTACTACACCACAGTATCACTCACTGACTTAAAACACTGGATTGCACCTACTTACACCACAGTATCACTCACTGACTTAAAACACTGGATTGCACACCTACTTACACCACAGTATCACTCACTGACTTAAAACACTGGATTGCACACCTACTTACACCACAGTATCACTCACTGACTTAAAACACTGGATTGCACACCTACTTACACCACAGTATCACTCACTGACTTAAAACACTGG